TCCCCCAGAAACGTGTCACAAACTTTTTTTTTTTGTGCCCCTTTTTTTTTTTTTTTTTTTGCTGTTTTTTTTGTTGTTTTTTGCGCCGATCTTTAATCTTTCTTCCTGTATAGATGTGTTATGCAATGTGCAGCTCTCTCCTTCCATTTCCTTCCGCCCCCGTCCCGAATGGCGCCAGATGTCCCACCTCGTCCTCGGAGGCACTGTCTCTCAGCAGGAGACTTCCCAGCATTCCACTGTGCTGGCGCACGCGCACGCTCCGCTCACTTCCTCCTCTCTCTCACGGACCCCTGGCTTTACCGATTAGGTGGACCTCGTGGAATCGAAGCTTTCACTTATGTGCAATATATGCGTTTCTTTCTCTACAAACGCTTTAAGAACGTTCACTCTTGCACCACTTTCGTGGCTCACCCCGGTTTCCTTCCTCTCCCCCGACTTTCTTTGAGTTTGTAGTGTAGTCGTTGGTTTATATCTTGTACTCCTCACGTTGTTTTAGCAGGTACTGAGTGAAGTTGTATATACCTGTATGTATCGTTTGAGACCAGCACATGGCATGCGTTTATGGTTCCCTGTCTGTTACTATTGAAATATACCAACTCCAGAGGACAAAGTGTGTTTTAACTATTTCCTTCTTCTTTTATAGTCGAAAATGTCTCTTCAGTGCATTTCTTTCTCTTCTTCTCAGTTTTAAAAGTGTTCACGGTAATTGTGAGATAATAATATTATTGCTTCACTACATTTCACACATTTTATTCAGTATCTTTGGAAGAGTGCTGTTCATTTTTTTTCCTTTAATCTTTTTTGTCCTTTTCCCATTTTTTTTTTTAAAGCTGTAGTATTAGCTAAGGTGTTGTCACTAAAAAGAAGATCCTAGATATCGCTAACCCAGTCCTTTTTACAATGTCTACATGCACTGTCAATGCCATGTCAGGAGTCTTGCTGTCCGGTTTAGCGAACTTTTGCCACCGCGTCAGATGAAGTCCATGCATCGGAAACACGTTTTATGCATTTCAGTGGCCTTTTATTTAAAATACTGTAGTTGGGAAAAAAATGTTGCTGTAGTTGGACTGTCAGCTGTCTCCTCTTTGGTTTAGGTTTTTAATATTTTTTTGTTTTTGCTTTTTAAATTTCCCATTATCTTGTAAAATAGATGTGTGGCTTCATCCGTGCAAGCTGTGCTGTGACTACCAACCACTGAGAGTTAATTAAAATAAACTTGTACATTGTAAAAATTTCTCTGCTTTTGTGTCCTGTTTTTTTTTCTTTCTTTGACATTCTTTGATGAATCGAGCACTTTTAGATGTGAGAACCAGTCGAATGTTAGATTATCATGCTGTTAAATGTAATAAACTCAGACCCAGTGTCCATTCTAATAAAATAAATAAACTACTTTTCAATGAGTGGCGAAGGATTGAAAAAGGAATATTGGATTGGATGCTTCAAACTTATTTTGTTAGTGCCATATCTCACATTGCTGCTTAAAAAATAAAATAAGGAAATAATAACAATAATGAATCAACTAAATAATTGTAGATTTTAGGAATAATCTTTGAATATAGTCCAGTTTTTACAAAAAACTTTAGACCAAAAAAAAACAAAAGTTATATAATATTGGTATTTCCCCAATGAATGATGATTTTGCCAGAAAAAGTTTTAGAATTTTTATCATATGTTAATGTATTCATGATGGTGAAAAAATAGTATATTAACTATAATAATTATATAGTAACTATTAATTTAAACTCAAGACTTAGAAGACAAGAATATAAGATCCATTATTAGGTCAATAAAAAAAAAAAGAACTTGGGGAAAAAATGTTATACTAAAAATGTTTGTGTGTGTTTATATAAAGCAATAAGCCCCAAGAAGCCATGGTTTACATGGTTTACGACGCGAAGCGCAGTGCCTAAAACCCCCTTAGCTGTTATAAATTCACTGTAAACCACGGCTTTACAGGGCTTATTGCTTTTATAAAACGGTTATTCCATGTACGTAGTAAGGTTTCACAGAATAAAACAGAGCAAATAAAGTGTAATGATATAAATAAAAACAGTATTCTTCCACCAAACAATGTAGTTCCTCAGAAACAGTTGTGGTTCCAACAAAGTAGTTGCCGAGCAACACACAGAAGTGTATGTTTGTAGAGTAATTTACAACAGCTTTGAGCGCAGCTCAACCAATCAGAATCAAGAACCGGAACTATCCGTTTTATAAATATAGTTTTAGTACGATTATTCAATCAAACGTAATGGCTCATGGATCTTAACCTTAAACCTGTGTTTCTTTTAATTATAAACTTTATTTTTCACTTGTTGAATACTAGTTCAAGTCTGTTTGCAGGAGAGAGTCTACTTTTTGCAAATGAGATGCTGTTTTTTTTCGGG